GATGGCCAGGTGAGTGGCCAGAGCTGCTGTGGTCCCTGAGGCGCCGGGGAGCAGGCGTGAGGTTCAGCTGGCCTTGTCCCTGCGGGTGTGTGAGCGCTGGCCCTGTCCCCCGCCTCCAGCACACCCCCTCATCTTGGGGACCAGGGTCATGGCCGAGACCCCATCTCCTCAGAACTGGGGGTGCAGTGGGGGTGGGGGTCGCTGGCCTGCCCGCTGCCAGCGCAGGGACTGTTCTCCTGCTCCCGACGGGGGTCTCAGCATCAGGCCTGGGGACGTGCCGCAGCACTGGCTCCCCACCTGGTGACCTTTCCCAGAATTTTCCCGAGAGCCCAGGCTTCCCCAGGACACGAGGGCCTTTTGGTTGTGGGGTGGAGCCAGTAGCCGGGGTGGAGCCAGTAGCCAGGGTGCAGCCGCGGCCCTGCGGGGAGCAGTGGACTTGAGCAGGAAGATCGAGCCATTCGTGGCTGCTGGGGTGGAGGCCAGACCTCCCAGGAGGCAGGAGGATGAGGCTGCGGGTCCCACCGAGAGGCCCGTAGAGTCCCCTCCCCGCTTCCTGAGCGACCGTGCCCAAATGCCCTCTTCTCTCCCTTCCACATCAATCTCCTCGGCCCTGCCTGGAGCCTCGAGCCTCCCCGCCTTGCTCCTCACAGGGAAGATTTGGGAGGCCAGCTGGTTGGGTTGCTCCTGCCGGCGGCAGGTGGGCACCCCTCTGGTTAGCCAGGGGGTGGCCGTGGCTTGCGGGTGGGCTCCTTTTGGCTCTGGGGGCCCAGCCCCTATCTGCAGCCTCTGGAGCCGCAGCCCCGCTCAGCAGCCACGCCTCTGCGGGTGGAGCACACGCAGCCCGTGGCCCACCACAGCTGTCGGCACCGCCTCGTCGCCAGGGAGAGGTTGTGCGCGCGTGGCTGCCCATGGCCCGAGTGGAGTCCTGTGTGTGTCTGCCCCCAGCGGGAGGGGCCTGCGTCACCTGTGCCCAGTGAGGTGCCCCAGGACCCTGGCTGTTGGGTGCCTCAGAGCGGGAAGTGTGGGAGTTGAGTCTTGGTTTTCCCTTCTCTTTCAGTGGAAGAAACACTGGTTTGTCCTTGCTGATCAAAGCCTGAGGTTCTACAGGGACTCAGTGGCTGAGGAGGTGAGTGTCTCAGCTCCGTTCCTCTGTAGGGACAGGGGAGGTCCAGGTGGCACTGCTGTTCCTGGGCCGAAGTCCCCTCCGGGTGGACGGGTAGCCCAGTCCAGGTCTGCAGAGGAGTCTGATGTTCCCGGGGCTGGTTCCTGCTGGAAAGTGGGCTCTCTAGGCCCTGCTTTCGGCACCCAGGTGCGGGGGTTTCAGTGGCTTTTCTTGTCTCTGTTCTTTGAAGAACACTGAAAGACGTCTTGTTTTAAAACTCAGGGTGAGCGGTTTTGTTCTTTCTATACAGAGATTTTGTGGTGAATTGAGTCTTTAGAGAACTGAACTAAATCTTGCCCCTTGTTTTCTGGACAAGGATGGGATGTGGCAGGTGAACCTGGCCAGCCTGGTTGAGAGTCCTGATTCCACGGTCGAACACCAAACAGAAGGGGCTCTTTTTTTCTTCACCTACAAAAAAAATCATCTATTTTGAGCAACTTGGAAGTCTGTTTCTGCACCTTTTCCCTTGCACTGCACTCCAGGAATCCTTCAGATACACTCCCACGCGTGAAGAAAGAGACGTGTTCCGTGTCAGCGGCTCCTGCACTTCTGTAACAGCAGGAGATCTGAAAGAACCTAAATGTCTAACACTAGGGGCTGCTGATGTACCCTGACACTTAAGTTCTGCCTGGACTGCAGTGGAAGGACGTTAGTGACACGAGGGCAGATGTAGAGCAGTGTGGGTGGTGGGTCTCGGGGGGAGCCTAAAGTCAGGGGCCACAGGAGCATGGGTGTTTGGCTGTTCTCAGAGTGTGGCCTGTGGACCCCTGGAGACCCGTTCAGGGATTCTTCTGTAACAAGAATAGTGCCATAAAACTACGATGCCATTTCCTTTTTCCGTTGTGTTGGCCTTTGCACTGATGGGTGCCTCAGCCTGGTCACGCTGCAGGAGCAGGTGGCTGGCCCCCATGCATCCTTCACTGCCACACACTGTGAAGTTACAGAAAGGGCCTTAACAGAGCAGGAAAGGTGCCCACTTCGGTAATACTCTGTGATGTGAGATGGGAGGTTGGCAGAGGTTGCTCCTGCTGCTTGTCCAGGTGTGATGGCCGTCCCCGGGGAGCACTCGCCCGCTGCCTGCGCTGCCCGCCCCGCCGGCCGCCTCTCCTCGCGGCCCACCGCCTCTGCCTGAATGTACGACGCACAAGTGCTCACTCGGTTTGGGTGTTCGGCAGATGTTTTCTTAAAAATGAACCAAGTGAGTCTCTTCCTTCAAGGAAAACGACCGACAGAATTGTTACCAGTGATTCAGTTTGAGCTTCCAAGCAAAACTGGAACTTTGGAAAACTTGTGGTCACCATCACAAACTTGACAGTCTCCCCCGAGCTTACAGACTCTCCTGACTGAACAGGTGGTGATAATAACAAATGCAGTGTTTGCAAGGAAACGTCAGTATCTGGGGGCTCTTCTAGAGGACGAGACAGTGTCACCAGATCATGTGGGGTTGAAAGACCCCCTCAAGGAGCAGGGTAGAACCATGGGTTCTAATGCAGCAGAGGACAGAAAGCATCCCCTTCGCAGTTCACCTTCAAGAAACTACCACTTGTCAAAGGAGAACAGCCATAACTGTCTTTTTGAAAAGACTGTTAAAATTCACTTCCCTTTTCCAACCCCGTATCTGTGTGAGGCCAGACCGCCTTCATATGCTTCAACCAAAACATGTCAACACGGCTTCCCTGGTGGCGCAGTGGTTGAGAGTCCGCCTGCCGATGCAGGGGACGCGGGTTCGTGCCCCGGTCCGGGAGGATCGCGCGTGCCGTGGAGCGGCTGGGCCCGTGAGCCATGGCCGCTGAGCCTGTGCGTCCGGAGCCTGTGCTCCGCAACGGGAGAGGCCACGACAGTGAGAGGCCCGTGTACCGCCAAAAAAAAAAAAAAACCAAAAAAAAACATGTCAACAAACAGACTTGAGTACAGAGACAGGTGTGAGAACCCAGCTGTCCTCGGAAGTTAAGCATTAAAGAGAGTTGCAAAAATCTCTTGCTGTTTTTTTAAAATGATACTTTTTGTTAAAAAATGAAATGGGTTTGTGTACTTCAATGCATAAATTTTTTTTCAATTTTTTTCCTAATTTCTAATAAGGCAGATATCATCAGTAGGTACAACCCACATAAACAGAAGCTCTTTGGCACCATCCATTTTTAGGAGTGTAAAGGAGGTTTGAGAACCACAGGCATGGGATGTCTTTGGCAGGATGTGTGAAAAATGGTGGTGTGGATGCTTCTAGGTGGTGTGGGGTAGGCAGCGCCCTGCCTGTGAGCATGTACAGTTCACGGGGCACTGGCCTTTACTTTCTAAATCCCTCATTTTCTCCGCAGGCGGCCGACTTGGATGGCGAGATAGACTTGTCTACATGTTATGATGTCACGGAGTACCCAGTGCAGAGAAACTATGGCTTCCAGATCCATGTGAGCCGGGTGGGGTTTGCAGGGAGGCTGAGTGCAAGGGTGGGGCCGTGGGCCTGACCGACTGGAGCCTCATCCTGTCCCCTCCTCTGCCCTGGAGCTCCTCACCCCACCCCCAGTCTGTGGTCTCAGCAAAAATTAAGACATTAAGCATCTTTCTGTCAAGGCTGTCTAAAAGGGTTTTTTTTACCGAAGGTTCTTTCTTTTTCTCCCATTTTTTAAATGCCGGAGTTCCGGCCAGTTGGAAGGATGTGGGATGTGGGAAGTTAGAGTGAAAGGGTTGAGTTCTTAACTCTCAGGGTGCTGGGTTTTTATGCACTTGCTCTGTCCTTCATTCATCCACTTACCCACTCACTGGAGTCCTTTCTCCCCACAATCTTGTGAAGGACTCCCAACGAGCAAGGCATTGCCCTGTCCTCAAAAAAATAATCTGATTGGACAGATGAAACAGTCCTCACTGGCCATGTCATCAAAGCTCGGGGTTCAAGGGCTGCTCAGAGGTAGCCAGGCTCGTTCATGGTGAGGGCACCGGCCCCTGGCTACCGTGTCTGCCCTCACTCTGATGCCACCTGTAAGTCTGAGGGTGCCCCAGACCACCCTCACATTTGATAATTTGCCAGAGGGACTCACAGAACACAGGAAAACACCGTACTTAGGACTGTAGATTTATTTTAGCAGAGGGATACAGATTGGTACCAGCCCAAGGAAGCAACACGTGGCGAACTGGACTGAACAGGAGGGCCCTAAACGAAGCTCTCGTGCCCTTGGGGACGTGTTTTCCCTCTTGGCGCTGACGTGTGATGACACACAGAGTTTCCAACATGGGAAGCTCGCCCAAGCTTCAGGCCTGGTGCCAGGCCCAAGCCTCTGTGTCCAGAGTTTTTATAGAGGCTTCATAACTGATCAACTGAACTGTTGTCCACATGGTCAAATGCAAGTGCCAGCCCCCTCTCCCCCAGGGCCTGGCTGATGTCACATGGCCGGAGCCCCAGCCCTTCACCCCGTGGCTGGTCTTTCTGGTCTGGCCCGACCCACTGTGCATCACCAGGGCACAGGGCAAAGGCCAGACCTGCCTTTGGGGAAAGCCAGTTCTTCCCCCATGAGAGCCTTAGGCGTGCGATAGGAACCAAGTGGCCTGACAGCTGTCACACTGGGACTCCCCGGCTGGGACTCCTGCAGCGTCCCCTTCTGACATTTGGGCCCAGAGACTCAGCTGTATCTCTGGATTCAGCCTAGATGCATGTGGCAGTGACTAATATTAACCAAACTCAGAGGAGTGAGTTCAGATCTGAAGGCCAGTGAATTCATTAAAAGGAAAAATCCAGCCCCCAGTCCACCAGGCTGCAGGGCATCTGTGGGGGGCACCAAGTCATAGCTGAAGGTGGTGCCAATCTGATGGCCCGTGCCGTCCCACCGTGATGCCCTTCTGCCCCTCGTCCCTTTAGGAGGAAAAGATATGCTCAGTGAGCTAGACCTCTAGCCTCCTCTCTGTGGACAGATTTGGGGACGGTGCCAAGTTCTGGCATTGTGGGCCGCACGCTGAGGCCCTCCCCCCCTCCCCATCTTTTTTTTTTTTTTTAATTTATTTTTGGTTGCGTTACTGCACACGGACTTTCTCTAGTTGCGGCGAGCGGGCTTCTCATGGCAGTGGCTTCTCTTGTTGCGGAGCACGGGCTCTAGGCGCGCAGGCTTCAGTAGTTGTGGCTCGCGGGCTTTCGAGCGCAGGCTCAGTAGTTGTGGCGCACGGGCTTAGTTGCTCCATGGCATGTGGGATCTTCCCGGACCAGGGCTTGAACCCGTGTCCCCTGCATTGGCAGGCGGATTCCTAACCACTGTGCCACCAGGGAAGCCTCTCACCTCCCCATCTTGAAGGGCAGGCTTCTCTGGGCAGGGCACCCTTGGGGGTATGCGTCCATTCCCATCACTGAGCAGGTTACATCATCGTGTTCTAGGGTCACTTTCTGTGCAGTGAGGCCGTGACCTGGGACTCTCCTGGTCACAGATGGGGCGTTTCTGAGTCACCTGTACTCCCTGGCTGATGTCGTCCACCAGCCTGACCCCTCGTCACTTTACCTGGGTGGGGGGCAGTGAGCTTATGAGCTCTGGGGCTTTCTCGTGAGCCCCGTGGACTGGGAGTTCTAAGTCGGGAGAGGTGGCGCCCAGCACGGGAGGCCGGCTTCCTGGAGGGACTCGGCCTGGGTCACTAGGGAGCTTTAGGATTTCGAGGGGCAAAGCTGTCCCTGGCCTGGCCACCAGACCTGGTGGCGTCTACCAGGGGGCTGAGTGCAAAACCTGGCGGGGTGGCATGGGGGGGCCCTGAGTGCTGAGTTGAGAGTCAGCCTTGCCCCGAGTTGTGGAAAGCACCGGAACGTGGAGGCAGCTGAGTGTCTGTGAGACGCATCTGGTGGGGCAGCAGGGGCGGGAGGCCAGGTGTCTGGCAAGTGCGGGGCACCCGGGAGAGGGAGGGGCAGGGTCAAGGGCTGGAGACCCAGAGTGCGGCGAGCCGTGTGCGGGAGTTGGCGGAGCCTGCAGCGCGTCCTGGCCCGTGGTGCGTTTGAGGCCGAGATGGGCCCTCTGAGACCGGTAGACAAGCAGCCAGCGTGTGGGCTTGGGGCTGGGAGAGGGCTCGTGGCAGCTGAGAACTGAGGTTGTGGGAGAAGGTGGCCGAGGTCACACTCCATAAACAGCACACCGGGAGCAGGAGGCTGCCGGGGGGCCGGCACTTCAGGGATCCCGGAGGCCGCGCGCGCCCCCCCGCCCCGGTCGGCCTGCGTCGGGGGGAACCGGAGGGAGAGAGGAGTGGACGTGGGTGGTGGGCTGTGGTCTAGATGGGGCGTCAGGCGGGGTCTGGGGTGGGCCGAGGTCACCCCGTGCTGTGCTGTGCTCTGCAGTGCCCTGATGCTCTCTTGGTTTTGGCCCCTGGCCATGCCAGCTCCTGTCACGAACCCATCTTGCTAACAGTGTCTTCCCATCAGCTGTTTTGCTGACGTCTCGTGGGTCTGTTTATGAGTAGCCTGAGCAGCTTGAGGAGTTCTGATCCCCTCACTTCTGTAAGACAGGAGCCCATGGGCTCAGAGGTGGGGGAGTGGACTCTGTGCAGCCACCACCCGCATCCCCACCCCTCCTCAGCTCTGCTGGAGCGGCGTGGGCCGCTCAGGGCCACAGGGACTGTGTCTCCAGGCCACTCATCACCCGCTGCCCATGCCGCCCCCTCCTGTGATGTCCTTCATCTTGACTGATTGGCATCCCACCAACTCACCCAAGTGTGGGGGGGTCCGGAGGGGTGGTCCAGGGATTGTCCTGGAGGTGCGCCCCCCACCCCCCAGAAGCCTGTCAGTGCTGCGCTGTGCATGCCACCTCCTCCCCCTCTCCGAAGCCCCTCTCGTCACCTGAACGACCAGCCCGGCTGCCCAGCAGGTCTCTCTGCCCCTCCTCAGCCCAACAGACACAGCCCCCATCGGGGCCCAGCCACTGCTGAGCCTCGTGCCTGCCACTCCTGTCCCCGGTCACCCTGTGAGCCTGTTGTGTGTGGTTGCACGCCCCAGGCCCACTCCCTCCACCTGGGTCATGCACCCCTTCCCTGTCCACCTGCCCACCCTCCCTAGCCCTGCCATGCCCTGGCCCCTTCCCGCTGCTCCCCGCACGCACGTTCTCCTTCCTTCCAGCCTGCGAGCTCCTTAAAGAGCAGGGAGTGTCAGTAAAAGTAAAGGCCTGCTGGGACCCAGGGGGAGGAGACGCCCGGGTTAGCCACTGCCATGACAGTGTTCGCGGCTTTGCTCTCTCCTTTGCCCTCCAGCTCTGTTCATCCTGAGTGGGGCACAAAGCGCACTCCTGGGACGGCCACCTGGCGCCGGCCTCCCTGTGGGCCTTCCTCACGGGTGGGGAGGTGCCGGTCACTAACTCCTCGTCTTCTGTGTAGACAAAGGAGGGCGCCTTCACCCTCTCTGCTATGACGTCTGGAATCCGGCGGAATTGGATCCAGACCATCATGAAGCACGTCCACCCGATCTCTGCCCCAGACGTGACAAGGTGAGCCGGTAGGGTGCCCGAGGGGGCCCAGCACAGCCTTCCCCCCCCCCCCCCCCCCCCCCC